CCACAATTAAGATTATTGGCGCAACAATAAAGGTGCTCGCAACGGATACGGACTATAACGGTAATTTACGACGGACGAATCGGGTGTTACTGCACGTATATATACATACGTGTATTCACGCGCGGAAGCGGAAGTTTAAGATAAATCGCCGTGAGCTGTGGGATGATTAGGCGAACGTGGGATTAGGTTGCCGCGCGGAGCGCGCGGGGCTACAACTGCGGGGGCCCGCTAGCACAGTTAGGCGCACACCACGCTACTATATCGTCACACATACAGCTCGACATATCACTCTCAGCATAAATCGCATATGCATACCCTCTACACACGGTGTCCATGTTACCACAGAGTTACACACGTACACATAGACACAACGACCGGGCGGATGCCTCTGGTTACCTGCGGCCATTCCCAGTTTTCGACTACACGCCGAAACACTTGCGGGAATTCACTCGCGTATCACCTCGCAAGAAATCGGTTAACTCAACTGATCCTATATTTATATCGTTGAGTGATTCGCGGGGGCGGAGCTTCTTTTTCGGAAGATAATCCGAGTCAGTTGGAGCTAGAGTTTCCATTACATTAAATCATTTGCGTGTTCGTAATTATATGTATACACTAATGGCATCGATATTATTATAATTACTGATGGTAACGCATACATATTCATAAGTCGCGGGCGTACTCATGTACATATTGTAACGAATTCGAAATTTCGACGGTCTTCGTAAATTTTCCGTTGTTTCAACGGAACTTAAGTTTACGCGGCTTCCAGTATTTTTTTTGTCTACGCGCGCCGCACTTGTTTGCGTACTCAGCGGGGTACAGTGCCGGGACGCAGTGCTGAATTAGCTCTTATGCAAAGGCACGTATGTACATACCGCATGCATACGTAAACGGCATGCGGACGTTTCCTGGGCCAAGCCTTCTTCCTAGGACCGTATTAGCTCTCCCGCGTAGCTCTCGCGCGCCATTTCCATTTCCCATTAATCACCGACATGCGCGCACTTCCCGTACGTATGTATATGTGACAATCGGATCCGCTCCCTTCCCGAATACGGACCCGCGGGAAATCTATTCCAACGACTTGTAACTTTTATACGCATCGCGGCTGTACAATCAACTTCCAATCGCGACGCTCTTCTCGCTTCTCTTTGAGTGCCGCGTAAAAGCATAGTTTTCCATGCGCAAGTATTTTCGTTCGCTAATGGCACGCTAATGGCCGTAGCGTTTTACTCTTGAATTCGTAAGTGAGTCAGCTATCGCCGGAATCTTTACGTAGAAGCGAAGAGGAACCGTGAGATCGCGTTTCTCGCACGATATATCTTATTCTCGTTAAATAGTAACAATAATTACAAAGCCCGTCGAAATTCCGACGTTTTATCATCGTACATCATCCGCGAACGGTACGTACATTGTGATTTTCGCATGTTTACATACCGCGCAAATCGTACATGTCATGTATTACATATCACATACATTAGATGTAAATCTTTCCCAGGATATTCCGTTTAATGAGTTCCTAATTAATTGACGGCGTTACAAGGGAACGAAACGAGAGAGAAATTACCGCAATAATGAGACCGGCAATATTTAACAATCATCTCCGCCTAATCGGCGTACTCGTAGAAGTAATTTGGACAAATTGGTAAAAAAAAAAAAAAAAAAAAAAAAAATAAGTAAAAAGTTTCTCTCCTTCATTCGTATTTTCGTGAGATATACGCGTTGGCCGCGGGTAAAACCCAGGGCACAGAGCGGAGAGCTTTATCGTTGAGTGTGTCCTCTCGTCGAGACGAGACGACGGCGAAGTTTCGCATAAATTTTTCCGCGACCCCGATTCGGTTCGATCGCCGAAGGAACAGTTTGCTTGTGAAAACAGCTAGTGCGATCTGGCTTTCAGCCGATGGACGTCCGGGATATACCCCGACGACGTTCACTGCGACAGTCCACTGAAAGAATCATTCGACATAATTCTACGTTTCTCCCCACCGACCGACGTTTCGCGCGTTACAGAGTCTCGACGAGCGGGCACGGCTTAATATCGCACCTGCATATCACCCGATATAGTTTCCATTGAATGTCATATCATTAACAAACGCGGGTACGGGCGCGAACGCGCGCTCGAACTCCCCCCCTCTCCCCGTCGATCGATGTAGTACAGCGAAGGTTTCTTAAGGCTTCTCAACTTTAGCGAATAGCACCGTCAATTGACGACTAGTGTCTAAGCGAATTAAAGCAAAATACATTGTTAAGGCCTAATAGATAAAGGGAAAAAAATAACTTGTTAGAATGTAACGATTGAGTAACACAGATTGCAGAATACACATACAGACAACACATCTATAAGATACGCGGTCATAGGTTTTCGTTGTTAATTGTGTGTAAACGCTTGCCAGAATTATATTCGCGAGGCGACACTATATTCCGTGTAGATATATATATCTACTATTGAGTTGTACGTATGTTTCCTTGCCTTTGAGCGCGTCTCCAGTCCTATATTTTCATCGCGTATTATTTGTCGAGAGCCTCATACATGTCTCGGATTACAAATTAATTCCGATACCGCATGAATTTCCGCACAAAATTGTTTGACAAAAATTACGTCAGGAAACATCGGAAATGTCGCTTCTAATTTCGCCGCGGGACGAAATTTATGAGTCGACCGGTCTAATTAGCCCGTTGCGCGGTGAAATTCATATATATAATGAATAATTAATCTGCGTATCGTTCCGCTGGCAGAAAATGTCACTGTACACCGCGAATGTGTGTAGCATGAATTTTCGGGCCGCCGATGAAACCCGGTTTTCGCTTTTGTTGGACGATAAAGATTACTCGCGTGACCTTCTTTGTATTCGAATTTTTGCGGTTGCACGATTATTCTATTTCTATTACGTGGTGCGGTATATTGTGCTGCAGCATTTTTTAATTTTTCTTTCTCGATCAAATGTAATCCTTATTGTCGATTAAAGCGTTCTCATTCAACGACACGATTACGAATACAAATTCATACATAGGCGGATTGCGACAATGAGAGAATTAAACTTCGTGCTTTATTTACGCACCCTCGAACGAGAGACGCACTCAGAGGCCCGCCATTTCGTGATTAAACGTGAAAATGAAACGAATATCATACTCCAAATGTTATCTAAGCTTTTTAAGCGATCAGAGAAAAAAAAGAACCCCTTTCCGCGAAACTGTTTAAAAGAAAGAGAGAACGAGACCGAGTGACAGAGTGGGAGAAAGAGAGAGTGAGAGAGCGAGAAGTACGTGAGTGAGGACGAAAAATTGTAATTTGAGAGGAAGAGAAATTGAGTGCGGAAGGAATGTGTGTGTGTGTGTGTGTGTGTGTGTGTGTGTGTGTGTGTGTGTGTGAGAGAGAGAGAAATAGAGAGAGAGAAAGAGAGTGTGTGTGTGTGTGTGTGTATGTGTGGAAGAAAGAGACAGCGTTAAGGGAACGAAATACCTGCGGCTCTAACTCTAAATACTTATTACACTTGTTATGCTATCGATAAGTTTATATTATATCTCTATCGTGACAGAATTTACGACGTATTGTACGTGATATTATATTTATACGGGCTGTTACACACTCTATCTCCGAAACTTCCATTTTCATCGCGCGGCCGAGCGAACGTGGGTCGGTACACGAGAAGCGCAGGAGAGCAAAGGAAAAAAAGAAGGTGGAAGAAAGAGGAAAAGACAGATAAAGCGTGAAAGCGTGAACAGCATCCAACATGCCACCTGATACACACGATATATCCCTTTCTCTTCGGCGGGAGGTATCGATTAGTCGAGATTTCCAGAGTCGAATCTTTATTGAGAGAAATCGTTACTATGACGAGGACCTACAGAGAAGACCGAGAGAAGTATGATGGGAAGAGGACCAGTGGGGAGAAGGGTCAGGACCTCGGGGCTAGCGGAGACACGAAAACCCGGACCAACAGAATTTATCGCGAGTCCACCGTGGATCGAACCATGAATCCAGCCGGCCGACAGACGACAAAATGCCGGTGCTTCTTCGAGGTCGCCGCCGGCGGGCCGAAGGTTGATTAATGGCGACAAGCGAGACGAGAATGGGTTCGACCTGTCCGACGAACGAGAAAGGGATTAAACGGAAAGTGGTGGTTCGCAGTGTTGGATTGCGAGGAAGAGAGAGAGTGAGACAGGGATAGAGAGAGAAAGAGAGAGCATACGTTTACATCGACGCAGTCGGCGGAGCTCTGGGGAGATCTCTGCGATGCGAGGAACAATAGACGGGCGAAGAGGAAAATGCAGCCGCGAAGTGCGAAGGCGGAGACGAGGCGATCGCAGTCGATCCGGTGGAAGGAAGTGGCTGGAATCTAAATCAAACGGTCGGGCGAAAGGAGAGAGAAGACGAAGAAATCGACCCTCCTCCCCGCGACGCGGAGAGACTCGTTCTTTTCGAAATCGTGCGCGCGAACGATATAGCCCTCCTTCTCCCTGTATCCTCTATTCTGCGGCGACCTGCGGACGCAGGAAGGCGATTATTTGACGATGTTTTCCCCGCGTCACCCAGCGATTTCCTCTGCGCCCATCTCATTCCGCGCCCCACTCGTAATTTCTCCCTTAGGTCTTAGACGGCGATAGAACGCATTTAAAGGCAGAGCATTGTGCACGCGCGCGCGGCCACGGAAATCAAAGCGAGAAACTCATCTCGCGGTTTTGTAATATCCAACTGAAGCCGGGCGGTTATTAGAATATCCGTCGCTTCGAGCGTGGAGAGAACGAGAATTTCCGAAGATCGAATTGTCGTTCGTATTCTCATCGTCGTATTCTTGCTCGTGTCGTCTTTCTCGCGCAATTCCGCGGCCGCGCGTTCTTCACCCAAGACTGTAATTATGCGAAAATGTAAAAAAAAAAAGAAAAAAAGAACCCTGCGCCCACACATTGCGTTCGCGCGATCGGCATCGCGCGCTCTCCATTTCATTTTTTGAAACTGTTACTGAGCTTGTTTTTAATAAACTTGTTTTTTTGTTTGTTAGAACGGCAGCGGACCCGGCGGCGAATCCGGTGGACGAGCGAACGGGTGAGTACGTCGCGTTATTTCCTAATTAAGTCTTTAATCCCGCAATTGTACTCGCGCCGCATCAATTTCAATTTAAAACGCATCCAGATTTTATATCTATCTCTCGCAGTATTACTTTTTTTAAATTGTGACCACGGATATTTTAACACATATAACGTTTATAACGTGTAACATATTATATAATATATGAAATCGATATACATATATATATATGTATTTCCCTCTCAGCTGTGCCATTTTTATTGAATCTAATATGCAGTATAAAAATATAAATTTTATACATAATAAAAAACCGGAGAAATATCTATATCGATTTTTCTGAGAGATGATTCAAGACATCTCAATCATTTTTATGTCAGGTGGAAGACGGGGGTGAAATCAGTAGTAAAATTTCTTACACCCCACGCGACTCATGCACACCGATATTTCCGTTAAATTTCCATTTTGAATCGCACGATTTGCGATGTATTTCACGGTCTGTCATTATTCGACGTGCAAATAAATTGCACCACGGAAGTGGCTCTTAGATCTGGGGAAAACCCAGATGCTCGCCATACTTCACTGTGTCGTTTCCCAAAAACTCGAGGTCTTTATAACGTAAACGATGTTTACCTACATTCTGCAAGCAATTAATATCGAACGGACACTCGACATATTATTTTTTATGAATTTAATGAGTTCTTGTTAAAAAAATGAAATTTAATATTATAAAATTTATTGTTAAGTTGACGTTATTATTATAAAATAATTATACGATTTGTCCTGTAGTTTTCGTACGTCACGATGTTTTTCTCGATGAGATAAGGTTGTGAATAACTCATTGGATATTAAAAAAAAGCGTCGATGAAAAATTCCAATTATAATTTTATTCTTACGATGATGTGGTGAGGAACAGATTTAGATTCGCGAAAAACTTGAATTTTCTAAAAACTTTCTAACTAGTACGAAATTTCCATCTCGTGCTTTCAGCAGATTTTCGAACGCTGAACTGAATTGCGCGAAGAGATCTCAACTAGAACTGTAGCTAACTCGAGCCTGCAGTTTGATTTGAAAGTTCAGTTCATTTTCAATCCACGCGCAATCGATCTTAGATTCAACTTGCAGACGCTCTCAATGTTGTCGATGTTCATTTCTTTCGATATTTCTCTCGACACTATTTAAACATTTGAATTTTTAATTCTTGAAGTTACTTTTAAAATTCATAATATTCAAGTCAAAATTATATTATTTGCAAAATATGATTCCACACAACGAGTAGAATCTCATAATACAGACTTTAATAAAAACATATAAAACTGCAAGATCAGTCTTACAGAAATTTAATACTGGAGAGTAAAAAGTAAGCAAATAATTTTTTTTAGCACTGTATTATTAAGGGTAACACAAGCCATTCGAGCGTAAAATGGACCGCAACCGTCACACAGACTCGCTTGATGCAGCTTCCGAAATCTTTTCTGTTCCAGACATCCAGGCGACAATCCCTTCTACAGCACCATCGACAGCATGCCGGACATTCGACCGCGCCGGAAGTCGATACCATTGGTTTCCGAGCTGGTAGGTAGCCGATTGCCCATTAACACCATTCCGCCATTGTCTCCGCGCATATATAATACATATGTATAAGTACACCGTGTACACACATACATATATGTACATTGCCTGGACCGTGTCCGTATATATTCGTCGGAAATAATTATCCGATCCGACGAATACGTCGAAACGTTTCTCATTGTTGTCGTCGCCGTTCGTTATCGATGTCGTCGTCGTCATCGTCGTCGTTCTCGCCTCAACCGGGTGGTCGTCAGGACTAAAATAAAAAAAAAAAAAAAAAAAAGACGCGTTCTTCGCTTCCGGGCAATGCGGCCCGGATTTGACCTTTCCCGCGATCTCCACGCGGCGATTATACGCGGCCGGCTGAATTTAATTAATTCGCCCAACTAGCTCGAGGCCGTCTCTCGCTCCCGCGCGCGCGGCTATTTTAGAATTTTAACGCGCGGCCCGTTTGGTACGTATTGCGATTCTGCGTTCCGCGTTTGCACCCGCGAAGTGAAACACAGAGCTGGAATTAATTATCTACCGCGATGTGTGCGACGTGTGCTACTCCGTTGGCGATGCTCATACGCGAGATACGATGCGAGAAAGTCCATACTGAACGACGGGAGGTATAAGTTATAATTGTAAACGTTCCAATTGACGCGGCACGTGACACGTGAGAATATTTATAAACTATTTCCACGCGATATTTTCGAATATTTTATATATTTATTCAGTTTATGTGGGTATATAGGTAAATGGAATTGTCATGTAGAAACTTGAGTGAAGTATCATTTGGCGAGCGTATAAGTAAATCCATTTGCGAGATGCGCCAGTTCAAGTGTCGCGCGCGAAGCAGGCATATAAAATATGAGCTCGATATTCGACACGCCAGATCAATCGGGCAGGCACGTGCCGGTCGATTATGCTAATATACGCTCGCTGCATACCCGACGACCACCACGGCCGCGGCATCGTTACTTCGCATTTTATTTATCTCGTCGCGTTTCCGAGGAAAAAGCTGCAAAGGGGACTGTGTAACTTCGTGTTCTCCATCTCGCTTTATCTCTCCTCTCTTTCCGCCAACTTCTTTTATGAATACATTAGTGAACGCAGCGGGGAAAATTATAACTGAAAGTTACGTCGAGCTTAATTAGTTTGTCATCCAGCGGAAACGCAACGGCTACGTCTTCTCTCGATTACAAAACAGCTCCGCGCATCGCTTCTTCTTCTAACTTTCATCTTCTCGCGAGACGGCGATGACGATGACGACGACGACGACGATCTAAGATACTACCCTCGTCGCGAGATGAAACTTTGTGTATCATGCACGGCGCATCCGAGGATCTGCCGTCGAAAGCGAAACGGGATAAAATTTTTTGAAATCATGAAAGACATTTTCGTTTAAATTTCAAGACGATGCGAAAGATCCTCCGATGCGGCTGGTGACAAACGTGTATCTCGTCGTGACCTAATTGCGTGTTTTACGTTTTCAGTGTTACCGTCGTGTTTTCTGCGACGAATCGAATTGCTAATTTTTCTAAAAAGCCATCGCAATGCGCCAACGAGCAAATCTGACGAAATATTTCCTCTCATATGTGTAATTTCCTCTTTTTCCCTTCCTGAAATTCCCAAAAGATATTGCAATTCACAACCCGTTGATAATTACGGATCCACCTACCTATATTAATGTCCTAAATATTATCCACGAATAAATAAGTGAATAAAATAAAATTAATTGCTTTGTCAAGCGTGAATAATACGACCGAGAGATTCCATTATTTCAACAAAATTTAACAAAATGTAATCGCGCCGTTGACGATTATGTTCGCATTCGGCCGGAGCGTTCCTGCCGCAAAATTTAAATTCGCAATTCGCTGATGCGGCTGGTTTTCACGAGCGGTGCCTTTATCTCCGATCGGAGCCGATCGAAAATACTGGGAAACTCGCGATTTGAAATTCGGATAAGTCACCGGTATATTCGCGACGATTTATTCCGCCGCGGCCGTATAAACAATGTGCGGAATAAAGACAAGTAGTCGCGAACCCTTTTAAGTAAATCATCCCCCGCGATTGCGTATCTCAGCCGATAAATCGATAAAACCTAGCCGAGACACAATCGGGCTTTATTTACAAAAGAAAAAAAAATGTAAAAACGACGACGCTGAGTAGTTTATAAAGTAGTTTACAAGTGTGCGGAGATATCCTCCACACACCTGCCTCAGCTCGGTTTATTATACACACGTTAATGACGCACATGCTCAAAACGATAATAAAAATGTCTTGTCTACGTCATGGATGCCATTGCAAGCTAAGAGCTCGCGTGTGCAACTAGTGCGTGATGCTTTAAATGAAATTCTTAAGTAGTTTATCGATCGGCGCGCCGGAGAAAAGCCGCCTAGTGGGGATAAGTGTGTCGCGAAAAGCGTGATTTAATTTTAACACTAGGAAAGTGAAACGTTGGCGGTAAAATGTAATTTTTATCAGAACGAAATAATGGAAAATTCAATTAACCGAATTCGATTAACCCGTAATAATACATTTAACGCGCTCCCATTTTGAAAATTGTAGATTTGAGATCACTTAGAACCCTCGAATTAAGAACCTCGTATCTTACATTTTCCTCACGGATTACATATTAATTCAGTGTTAGAAAAAAATTCACCGATCTTATCCTTTCTTACACGTAGAACTGCACTCCAGTTCTCCCCGAATATATAAGTATCCTCGATTACCCCCTTAGATCTCCTGATCCGATGTCTGTCTCCCTGTATGTTTGTCCCCCTGTTCAATGTTAACGGTTTACATATAATTGTTGTGTATATCTCATATCAACCCCTGGACTCCCGAGGCCTCGCGACGTGAAATACCTACATTTTCATGTGGTATCGTGACGCGAATAAAATTGTCCAGGCAGTCCGCAAAAAGCGCGAAGAGATATTACTGGGTTATAACCGCGAAAACGTTTGCGTTATTCGCCGGAAAAATTGCAATAACGGTGACCACGCATCGCCTGCGCCAACAGTGTCGAACGAAACGGGTTTTGACTGACCGCGTGTAAAATGCGATTATCGCCCGGTAATTTCGGTCGGTTTATATTCACCACGGAGATATAAATTTCTGAAGTGCGAATTAACGTTGTCGAAACTCGATGTTATAAGAAGGAAAATAACTCTGTTTTTCATGTTTGCTTTTGTATGTCACCACGTAATTATCTCTTCGTGATGAATCGGTCATAAGCATAATCCGTTAACATCGTCTTTGTGCCTATCTCTCCTGTGTCTAACTTTTAAAACATCCATATCTATATCATAATTTAACAAAACGAAGGAATTGCAAGTGATACACGTACTAATCGGCATATAATGCTATTTTCTTTGTTTGTTCTCTGTGGCGCCCGTTGTTGTATCCACCTGAACACCTGAAAAAAACAAAACCACTCACTGAAAAAAACCTCTAAAAAAATCTCAAAAACTCTACCTCCAGGTCTTGAAGGTACTAATTAAATGCCTCCTTAGCCAAGTCAATTAAAAGCTTGTTCGAACGTTTGCATGTGGATTTTTAATTCGTCTTTATTCTCACTAGCTATATACGCCGTATTCCACATCTTTTCTTTCGTTTACGTTCTTTCGTTTGTTCAATGCGATTTACATTTCACTCGCAAGCTACTTGCTCTCGACACTGTGTGTGTTTTCTTTTTTCTTTCTTTAATTTGTTATATATATATATATATATATATGTATATATATATATATACATATATATATATATATGTACGACTTTTTTCTGCTGATTACTCGTACTATAAAGGGGATGTGTGCATGCTTCCCTTGCGACGCGAGTCGTTGAAAGTCGCGCTCTTCTCGACGGAATAGAGTCAGCGGTGTAGAAACTTCTTGATTACATCTCTAATTTAATATGACTCGGTTACATGTGTACCTACTCGTTAGTAAATAGATACCGGAGTAATTTTGTTATCTGCGGAACGTGCAATTTCTATCTCCGGCGTATGAAATATCGAATGCGAGAAAACAGCATACCAAGTCTCTAGCGGCTCGTTAAATTGAACGCGGGTTCGTGATGTAGTCGGGGAGAGAGACAGGAGATGTTTGCACTTCAACGAGACGCATTGTCGTCGCGCTCTCTTTTTTTTTCGGTGGCTTACTCGTGTAACTTCGTGTCTCGCATGCGAATGTTTTTACAGTTACTTCGACGTCGAATAAAATTAATTGCGTGCATCCGCACTTGATCATCCAGTAATTTCCAATCTCACGATAAAAACGATTTTAGTCCCATCAGATAATTTTGTTCTGTCTTATAACGCGAACGCCTCTCACCTGCATGCAGAACCGTTCACTGCTCGAGCATCGATATTGCACGAATGTCTCGATAGCCGTAGATACATGTGTTATGAATAATTGTAAAAATATCATACGTAGTCGTAAGTGGATGCAGTTTCGATTCAGGAAATTTTAAAGAAAGCTCGTTTTAACAGTATAAGTTTTCTTTGATTCACCGATACTGTTTTTGTTCCTCTCGTCCGACTCCTTCGCTTCTGCGCCTCTCCGACGAGAAAGGAAAACGAGAGAAAAGCGAAGCGAAGGAGGTGGCTCGATAACATCGTTAAGAAAAATGATATTCGCGCACGGGATTCTCACAAGAGACAGAATTAAATTGCCTTGGGGTGCCCCTCGCCCCGTGCCGCGTCGCAGCATCCCTCGGGCCGCCGGCGATCGAGGGACGCATTAGAAAAACAATGTCGCAACCAAGCATACGTGGATTACGGCCGATAAAAGTGACATTAGCATGTACGGAGTTGGCGCTTGATTGTCGGGATCAAACGGTGGCGCGTGCACGGCTCGCGGGGTTCTCCGTGTATAATATCTTAATTAAAATCTACGCCAACCGCAAATCCTATCGCGCTACCAGACATCCATAAGCTAATTAGATTAGATTTTCTCTCCGTAGAGAATCACCTATGCTCTACCTCTATCTATCTATCTCTCTCACTCTGCCTCTCTCTCTCTCTCTCTCTCTCTCTCACTCACTCACTCACTCACTCACTCACTCTTGTCTCTATCACTATATTCTACCAACTGATTTACATATCTTCTGACGTTTCCGCTCCATTCGCTTCTTGATTCTTGCCTTTCACCTGTCTTTTCTCGCTATCGCTCTCTTCGTTCTAATTTCGACATTAGATACACTACATACATATGCGTCACCAATCGTACATGCAAATCTACGCCGCATTGAACCTGTGTTATTAAGCGGGGTCCAGTCTTTGATTAGCGTCCAGTACAATTTCCGCCAATGGGTCTCGCGCGCGCATACGGTAGCGTATAATCCAGATCCCCTCGTCGAATCGGATCTTATTACCAGTTTTAATACTTGCAATCTTGTTTGTTAACCGCCGCATTAATTTCCTCTATGCACGCGACTATGCGCAAAGATAATCGGACAGATATTATATTAATCTGCGAGCGTTTGCACGAGCAAATATCACCGCGCGCTTTACCATTCGTCATGAAGTATGCTCAAACGCGCGGTCAGTATGTACTCGTTAAATTTGCAAGTATTTCAGAAACGCTCGCTGTGTCCGTCGTGATATGTAAATGTCAGAGTCCGATTACATAAGGCTACTACTGGATTAAACATAAAATATCCGGGAGAGCGCTTTCCGTGACATTCGCGAAACAATCTCTTAGCACAATCCTTACGAGCGTTCGATGTGTACATATTTTATTATATATATGACTCACACTTATATACATCTCACTCTCCATAGGACTTGTAAATAAAAGTTTAACTTTTATTCGATATTCCACTTGGCATGTAATGTCACCGCTTCTTTCACGTCACAAGACTCTTACGTCATAAGATTTCCCTACGGCTTTGAATTTGTTTGTTTCTCGCAAGTTTTTACACACTGCGGATGCGATTTAATATCGATGTCAAGTTGCTTCTTTGGAAATGTATACTCACGTTTTGATCGATTAAAAATTTCGAGATGTGTATATCACCTTTGAGTATAACTTTTCACTTTGGAAAAACGTTCTTACGTCGGTGTCGTTCACCTTTATTTTGACACGTGACACGTAACAGCCACGTTTCTGATCTCGATGTCGAAAAAATATCTGTAAATAACACTTTTCGATGAATTTCTTCTCCTTGTTCTTCACATTCGTTTTTTACATACGTTTCTTCACGTCTCTCGATTTATTCTATCAATTCTGTGCTTTTCTTTTTAATCTTTTTCTCGCTCTCTTTCTTTTTCTATCTCTTTCTCTTTTTTCTCTCTTCCTTTCAGTTTCTCAGTCCCCAGGACTATCATTCACTATGCGATAGAGAGACTGGAAGGTATTAGGCGTTATTATCGCCGTTATCAGATGCACATTAATTCCTATCTTTTCCCAGACCATGGCAGCGACGAAGAGGAACGCTGGCCTCACATCCGCCGTACCTCGAGCGACGCTCAACGACGAGGAGCTGGTAAGGACTTGCCCTTTAGTCACTGTACTTCATCGTCGCCACTTCGCGTCACCGCTTAATAATCCAAGAGAGACATGTTGGCCTTGTAAGGGGAGGATTAGCCACCGTCGCGTCGTCCCGCTGATATTTAAATACTCTTTACAGGGCTCTCATTTACAATTACATATTCTTTTAAAGCTGCCATTGCGTGGACGACGCGATGTAGGCGCGTTAATTAATTAATGCCATATAAATCACAAGCCTAATTACTTTCTTTCTGCGTATTCCGGGAACCATCACGCGAATGGTTGAGGGATGAGGGTAAAGTTTCGAAGGCGAAAGTATAAGAACGTATTTAGCTTCTAGTTGCGAGACGGAGATATTATAGCGAGTAATATTAGAATTACGGAAATAGGTGTCGAGGAGGAATTACGTCACTTAATTTTAAGTTTCAATACCAGTAAGAAACCGGCGCCGAAGGAGTTTGACTTAACCACTCTCTTTTCTTTTCATACGAAACGTGCTGCGTTTTACCCTCATTTCCACGCTATTTTCTTTCACGTAAGTGTGTTCTGGCCTGCGTTCTGTTTCTGAATCCTCCTTATTTCTACTTGCTCCGTTTCCCCCCACCCTCGCACCGTGTTACTCTGAAGCAACACGTAGCGACCTAGTGTAAAACACATTAGCGGCTAGGACACCGTGATACGCATCGCGTATGTGCCGAAGAAATACGTGCATATGGTATGCATTAGGTGAGAAAATAGTGGTCGGATCACGCGCGTGTATATATACATACGTATATATATAGGACTGTCCATAGAGCCTACATAGTCTACGTAGGGGTATCACGACGCGGGATACCGTATCAGAGAGAAATAGCTGGGCTAGTGCTAGGAGTTTCCGATTTCTGTGACGTTGGATGTTCCTCGTATATCGAATACCGGCGTGTCCTTCCCGGGTTACTTTGACACGCGTGCAATATTCGATAACGAGATATCGATGCCTCTTTCTCAGATATATACGATTTATTAAAGTCGCCCCGGGAGGAAAGGTGTAGTAAGTTAGTAAGAGTCGAGATTTATATTCTGCACAGTTTGTTAGCATTGGGTGGTAAAGATTTGGATAACCGCAGACTTTGCTATATAACAAAACTCTGAAAAAAGAAATTCGAGTGGAAAAATGCCTTCGACATTTCCGATCGTCTGACGAATATATCGACGGTCGTAACGTGTGTTGAAAGAGGTAACTCAGCCGTTCGCTTACATTTTACGTACGTATACATTCTTACATTGCATCGGGATGAAGATATACGGATTTTGAAAAATTCATGCACCGGGGAACATCTCGAGTTCACACGTTAGTACCATAGTGCTTAGCGGATCGATGCTTTTACACCCTCCTTTTCTCGCTAGATAGTCTCTCTAACGATAGACTTCGGAAAATACCGCTCGGTCTAAAAGTTCTCCGGGCACATGAGACTTTGCGAGGGGGGGGGGGAAAAAATAAAGAGAAATATTTCGGAAAAAGTCGCAAAACGAGATGGGGCGAAAATTCTCGATGGTCGATATGAAACGTGATGATCTCCTTAGGATCCGAGGGGCTCGCGCGCACGTGTGCTCGCGAAGCTCTCGGTAGGTAATACCATCCCGCAAGCATGAAAAAAAGATACCCAGAAGAGAAAGAAAAACCGATAGAGATGCTCTCGAAAATCTAAAGCCGAACAACGAGAGTCATTTTTGTTTTTGAGAGGCACCTGAACGAGTAGAAACCCTGAAACAATCTCTTAGCGTATCCCAATTCGCTTTTACTGGAGCCATATATGCGGGCTTTCTCCTTCGCGAAATCCATGTCTGCGTATAGTTTGCGTGCACACGATTATTCAACTTAGAGAGCCCACAAAGGCACTTCGGTTAATAACTAAATCCGGCGAGGGAGTTTTTGCGAGAAAGATTGGAAGATTGGACGGACGAAAAAAAAGAAACGAGATGCTAATCCTTTAGTATTCCGTCTACAATTTGAAACGCAAATTTTTACATTGAAGAAAATGTACTTTGAAGATCGATAAGAGCAACGCGAGGCACAAGTAATAAATTAAAGGAGCCTCTTTCTCAAAAGGTCATGACAAAGCCGTTTCACCTCTTCAATCAGAAATAGCCACGCTAATATAATTCTTGATACAATTTAATATTGCACAATTGTTCGAGATCGATTCTTCATATGCCGTGTATGTAATAGAATTTTATATTACGTTAATACGTAGACACGACAGCCACTTCGTGATAACGCTGTGAAAACGGGAATTCGAGACACTTTTTCTCTACGTTCGCGACAAATAGAACGCACTTCGCGGAACAATATCTGAAATTCAATAGACGTAAAACGATAAATGTAAAATACGTTTTATCGCTCAATATCGGAAATTTTGATGTGTCAAAATGCAGCGACTCCTTCCAAAGGATTAGTAATTCAATAATGTCCAACGAATCGTTTAAATCCCTCAAAAGTCGTAAGTAAGTCTTTATGAGCGAGGAACCAAAGTAGAGAAATGAATGACTGCATAAATCGCCCATCCCCATTTTTTTCCCCTCGACTTGCTTCCCCCTCCCCCTCTCCCATTCTCCCATCTCTCTCTTTCTTTCTCAATGTAACGGCGATGCAATCGCACGATGAAACACCCGCAGAAGATGCACGTGTACAAGAAAACTCTCCAAGCGATGATCTATCCCATATCATCGACCACCCCTCACAACTTCGTCACCTGGACGGCCACGTCGCCGACGTACTGCTACGAGTGCGAGGGTCTTCTCTGGGGCATCGCCCGGCAGGGAGTGCGATGTATGGAGTGCGGTGTCAAGTGTCACGAAAAGTGCAAGGATCTGCTGAACGCCGACTGCTTGCAGAGTGAGTATAACGTTAATCTATATTTTGGCTCATTTTCGCGTGCCCGTGAAATACGTACGGTTATCGCAAATATACGGATGTATGCGGAGAATTAATCGTTTGTTTCATTTCGGTCAATTGGCACGATTAATTAACAGATTTCAAACGAAATTGATAATTGTCATAATCATACATTAGCGAATTTGTCGGTGGGAGCTGTACAATAATGTATGTCGAAGATTCGGAAGAGCGCCGAGGTCGCGTAAATTCCGCCCTTCTTTTCCAGGCGTATAATTAAAAACCTTGGATTTATTTATTAACGACTGGGCAGTAGTAAAATCGATTGTCCCTCGACACGACGACGAGATTCAGGCCGAAGTCGAGAAGAGTTTCTCGCGATACGTTGAATTACGGAGATTAGAGCGAATAAACAAGTTTGCACAGACGTACATTTAAATTACTATTTTCTGTCTTTGCTGCATACGCGAGTTAATTATTAATTCGCTCTGCAAAATCGCCGTCCGTCGCTTCTTGCAGTTGTGCGGTGCTATTTCCGTGCCGTCGGCCGCGCGTGTCTTGTCAATAAGCGGATATCATTATTCTCGCTACATTCCATGTAAAATCGATACGTATAACGAGATAATTCAAATCGAATTATTAAATCGCGATTAAACCCAATTGAATTTCACGGATTGACCGTCTCGCGGAAAAAATAACTTTTATTATACGTAAGCGCAATACGTTTCGCGCGGCCATTTCGCGATTCGGCCCCGATAAAAGTATCCGCAATGACGCGACGGATTTTATAAACCAATTTTATAAACCAATTTCCAATGTTCGGAAATCGGGAAATAATGACACTTTTAACGTCGACCCCCCCACCCTGTCCGTCGGACCTTCAATTTGATTCCGGTGATCTTCGCGTTCACTTATAGGCGTCCTCTTCGCGTCTGGATGCCATTCGCTATCGATTCGTGCTAGCGCTCCCAGACTTAATGACTATGATTCTCAGCCCTTTCCCCCGTCCCCCTCCTCCCCCTTTCTCGCTGCTCTGACTCTGTCCCCGATAAAGTTTCTTTCCTTGATCAGACAGTCCACGATTAATTTACAGCCTCTCCCGCCTCCGACTTAGCCGCACGACGGTTTACCCCGTAACTCCGTTCTCAATTAATTCTCCCTCATCCACCGCTGTCCGTTGTAATTTCAATGTACCGGGTGTTTCGCGTCACGTTCTTTCCTCTGTCGTTTATATTCTTCTAGGTTTTGCCTCCCCTTCCCCCGTACGAGACCGCCGTGCGGTTGTACAACAACAACAGGATTTCCAGTAATAATTAAAATAGCTGATGTATCTGATATAGGTCGTGGAAAACAGCTCCGATGCCGTTATACCTTCGCGTAAAACTCTGAAACGCGATCGACACCAATATCAGATCGCGCATGCAAAATGCTATCACGCTGTCATGCTCCTGCATCTAACGGTGTCTGATGTCCAGCGATTATGTATAATCAAAATTGATGCGACTATTATGCAACGCATTGGTCATCCATCACGATCTGCGTCCGCGGATGTGTCATATTTTCTATGGTTTATATTGTAATTTTGCGAAACGCAATACCGGCCGTTATATCCGCGGTGATGATATTAGCGTCGGGTTCGGGTGATATCGAAGAACGAGGGGAAAAAAAACTGTTGATATTCAATCACCGCCGATGATACGAATCATGATTTCCGCGATATATAGAATTCCGCCTCGGGGGAAAAATATCGTAACTTTTTTTTGTAAGCGTTTTATCAGCTGATGCATTGAAAAATACTGCGGCAGCCGCGCCGAACTGCGTGATAAATCTTCTTTACGTGTAAAACACGCTTCACTCTCTTTCTACTGGAGATAAAAAAACCCTCCCTCCGTTTTATCGACACATACCGGCGCGACATCGAGAAGATTGAGAATTAATCTGCGAATAATCGGATTCGGATCGAAAATTTGTACAGTAATACGCTCTTAATGACCCGGCCAAATAATACACCGTATGCAATATATGTATATATATACATGCGAATCTCGAATTTGTATTTCGTTATTCCATTCCGTTCTCACAGGGGCGGCTGAGAAGAGCTCAAAGCACGGCGCCGAGGATAAGGCGATTAGCATAATCACGGCGATGAAGGAGAGAATGAAGCAAAGGGAACGGGAGAAGCCGGAGATCTTCGAACTGATTCGGTGAGTATCCGCTTGCACTGCGCGCGCGCGCGCGCGCGCCCGCTTCTTTTTTTTCTTTTCTTCTTTTCCTCGCAGCGGAAGTCAATCCCAACGACGACCGTACCGTCAGTCAATGACAGTGCGAGTCGATTCGAGGAGGAATAGCGTCGATCGATGTACCAATCGATCCCCGATGCGATTTAGCGTCTGTCACCACTGCCTCGCTGTTTTCGAATCAGCAGATCCGCGCTGTCAGCTCCGATGGATCGCAGCGCGCGCTCGTTGCACTTGGTATAAAAATCCCATAAGGAAAATATTTAATGTCGCCTGTGATATCGCCGGCAACGACGCACCGCTTTTTCCTTTAACGACGGATAAAAAACCCCGTTCTCGCGACCGTGAATTAATTAGTTTCCCCGCAACAATCCATTTACGAAATCCTCTTTCGTTTCACCCGAGACTTCCGAGTCTCCACTCTACGCGAGTAAATGGTGCCGCGAATAAATCGCCGCAGAGCCGAGCCAGATCTATTTCACAAACTCAAACATAGGAAATCGTTAGAGGCCGTATAAACATCGTTCGAACGAATATTAATGCGTCACAGGACACACCCTCATGGGGGGAGGGGGGCATAGCATATTGTGTCGTGAGTATTCGTGAGTAATGCCTTACGATAAGGCGCGACACGATTCGCGTTTCAGACATCGAAGTTATCTTCTCGTTATCTTGGTGGGGAATTTGTGTATTCTACATCGTACCGTGTGTATTCCGTTACCGCATCAGACATATATCATACAATAGATACACATAATCGATAGTCCTTCCGTTCAAAACTGCCGAGTGCAGATTATAAATTATATTTATATATATAATTGGAATTTGTATATTTATTACATAAATTAAAAGCGAAAGAGAAAAGCGAAAGAGTTACGGGGGAAAATTGAAAGTTAAGTAACGCTGCATGTACGCAGCGATATTTTAGTATAATAATATAATATACGGTTATAATAATTTCCGCGATATTATCGATTTCACGCGAAAAGGCAAAATTCGCTTTATTCAATAAACGTGTTTATTCCTCGTGCAATCAAATAAGCTGTCAAAATTAAATAATCTCACAAATTAATATTGTCCGTTCAATAATCGGCACTGACACGCACGTGGACGCAAACACGCGCGATATTATTTTAGTTCAAACTTTGACTTGCACTGCCTATGGAGACCGCGAAAGCAAAAATCTTTTGTTATTTGAAATTCAATTGAAATCCGGTAATATTGCTGATTAAATATAAATATATTTGTTTAAGTAAATTCTGACTTGTTTATGAAAATATATGTTAACGAGAGATCCGCGGATTGTTTTCGAGACACCGAGACCGACCTTTTGTTTGCGGTGAAATGATAAATGGATAACGCACGCGGCTTAGGCACGTCAGCATCGTCATAATAACCGTCTAATCGCATTTGCGCACCTTGCGTCAATCCGTCGCATATCTGCCATAATTAATTAAGCGTCGAGCTATTCGAGATATCTCCGCTACCCGCGCGCTGCATTTCAATCTTATTACCCTAGTATCGGCTCTTGCTATCTCACGGCGATTATAAATATCAACGGTGCCACCAGACATATAGCACACAGGTTTCGTAAAAGCCATCGCGATAAAAAGCCAGCTCGGCGAGCAGTTGGCTAATGAAAATCAACGTTAATTAATATCGCTCGCGCGATCTGCATTGCGATAGACCCAATAATCGCGTTGATAAACCGGTCGATCAATATTTGTTCACTTAGTCGTGTAATTAGCACATTATACAAAAAAATTTTTCTTTAGACGCTTGAACACATATTTATACAACTCGTAATGAACTGTGAAATAGTTGTCTTGGGAGGGAATACCGTTTTCCCCCGAATTATTTTTAATCCATTCGACGCAAATACGCCGATAAACTTGGATAAACATGGTAAACGCACTGGTAAACGTGAATTAATCGGCGCGCGTTTCATACTTACGGATATTTTTCTCGTTTCTAGCCGTGCATTAGTAATTTAGCTTGTCGGTAATTAGCACGAGCGAAATTAGTGGAACAGCTGCAGCGATCGTTATTACGTGCCAGGGAAAAGCGCTCGGGTCCGGTCTCGCCTCCGCAAGAAATACTGCAACGCAGAACGTTGCGCCCGCAATGGTTATATATATATATATATTACTGAAAATTAATTTAATATCCCAGGCGACAATAATTAGTTGTCAATTAAGACTGCTTTGCGCCCAGCGGCAATAGACTGGAATTAATCCGTATAATTAAATGAAACGCGTAGACCGATACGGCGATGCAGTGGTGACAAAATCGTAAGGGAAAACGAGCGAAGCTAAAGCGAAAATCTTCACCGTCACAGGGTCCCGATCTCGTCTTCTCCGAAGGCTACAGTCGCTAATCGCGCAGATATGACGCCGCTCGTCCAGCATCGATACCGCGCTATCGAGCTATCGACGCTCTCGTTAGCGGCTTGATCGATGGCCAGTCATTTTAATTGGAAGATTGTTTCGTTACGGCACGCTTATAAAAAATTTCCATTGCCAAAACGCTCGATTACGGTCGTTTGCCTTTTTATTCGGGACATTCGGAAAAATTCAGCAAGAAACAGCGCCGTTTCTGAATGAACCTGCAGTTGAACCTATATACAAAGAGAATTCTCAAGCTGTCACGTAGGGATTCGCTGCAACAGTAATAATCCTGCAACGTGTTCTGTTTTCACGGGATACTAACTGTAACAGCACAGTTTCACCGGGATTGCAAAAGAATAGCTAAACGTATACGTGCCGATTGGAATTTCGTTCGTGCCATCGCACATAAACATGTCTTTATTTCTCTCTTTTTTTTTTTCAATTCTTACAAACTGACAATCTTTCGCGAAACGAGATAATTCCTCTCCTTGAGAATTCGCGGCGAATGAGATTATTTTAGATAAAGATAATCTCGAAACAAAGATATATTTTACGAGAGAAGCAGACGAGATCGCGGCCGTTGGCACAGCTTATGTGAAAGAGAATCTCGTCGGAGTTTAGGTCAGTCTTCGGGGTCGACGAAAAGGCGCACTCGGGTCACATGATGGCGGTGGAGCAGTCGGTTTTGGACGGTACCAGCAAGTGGTCGGCGAAGATCGCTATTACAGGTTTGTGGCTGCAGCTCGCCGATTCCCTAAACTGGTCTTGTGTGCACTCTCCGTACCCCCCACGCGACGAGCGTGTCGTCAGTATGGTGTTCCCGATATACATGATACATATATGTGTGTTGCGTATGCCTTTACATATTTCGACTCTGTATAGTGCGAGTCTCATCGTTGTCTTTTTCCATATACCCGTATATATATATACATAATGCGTGTACGCACAAGATTACTTTGGTCACTTATTATTATTATTATTATTGCCGTTACACACCTAGGCGGTGATAACTGGCTCTTGGTGGCTGCCGCGCGTGTGGCTGTGATTGTATTGATTGTGCCATGAACGTAACACCGATATTGAATAACAACTACCTGCCCTACGCTGTGATTCCACACACCCTGTACGTAATTCCGGAAGCCGACTCGACCATCGTGCGATAATGTGAACGATTTAAAGGGGACTGCCTCACGTCCGAGCTACAAATTACTGATCTGAAACTTAGTTTTATCTCTAATTCTTTTTCTCTAACTTCCTTCAACTTCTTCAGCGTTGAGGGTATACTTCATACAGCCAACAACTCGATTACATCGAGCGCGAGCGTACCTACTCTCACGATGGGACGAGGCTACCCTACCTCCGTTTCCCTCCTCAGAAACACCTTGACTTACTTATACTCCCCCCCGCAACTATTTCCACCCTAGCCAATGCAGACTAATATACTTGTATGTGTGTACGCGCGCGTGTGTGTGTACGCTATGCTGCTGTTTTACTGTGTATGTGCTGGCGTTTTTTTTTCCTTTATATGATCTTACATTTTTGTCCGCTGGATGCAACGCTGGATACCGCGCGACGATCGTTACGTGTGCAACACCGTGTTTAATTGGACATTAACTCGGTATTCGCCTACCTATCACACACGGCGTTTACTTTCCTTTTTTTTTTCTATCCCGGTGTACTTGCCCCTTCGCTCCAATTTCACGCCAATCCCAGCTGCCGGGCGTATAGCAACCGGTCCCGCTTCAACGAGATCCACGAAATCGAGTTTGCAGACAGTTTCTCTCCTCGTTCGCGCGCGCTCAACGCGCTATTTGCAATAGCCTCTTTTCCAGGGAGAAACGAGTGGAGTTTCGTGTTCCATCGGCGAAATGAAATCCCGCGCGGTCGGCCCGAGCGAAATTCCTCCAGAAACAACACCTCAATTACCATCGTTCGCTGAAGTATTTCAGCGTAAATCCTCGATACGCATCCTCCCGTTATTTCTCGTTAACGGAAATCACCGGCGGTACACGCGGCTGATTTCGCGTCCCGCATTCGTGTGTCGCTCTTGTTTACGCGTCGATATCAAGATATATGGAATTTCCGCAGCAGCGTGGAATGTATATACTTATGTGTTACGTACATACACCCCGGGCGTCGTGTGCCGATCGTATGCCGGTCGCAGGTATCACGCGATGCTCCTCTGCAAGAGAATTCAATCGAAAGTCCATTAAGGTCACGTGGCCAACTTGTTGTGGCGGCAAGTATGTGCCGTTGCCATTGTCTAAGGCAAACCCCGGGCCCTGGCGGCTATAGCCGCCGCGTCGAGCTTCCATGGACGCGAGTCCCTGACCGATAGGCCAATACCACAGTGACGTCTATCGAAAGCAATCTACCGACCACCTGTAATCTTCGGTATATCGAGGGCACACGTTCTCTTTCCCGGTTGCGTTTCGCTAGCGAGATGAGAGTCGAGCGTCACGGTCGCATCGATCATCCCCTTCGATCGAAATGTGTCAAGCTTAGCTCCTCCGTTCGAAAACCTGCAGCCAGAAATAGGTCTCGCGTGTCGAAGATAAGGAAAATGAATTCGTCTCGATGGATGTCGGATTAAGCTCAACAGTGTGCGCTTAGCGCAAACGATTTATTACGAGGACATAGGTGTTGAAGAACAGATAAATGTATCGTCTGTCTGTCTCCCTCTCTCTCTCTCTCTCTTTCTTGTACACTTTATCTCGAGAAATAAATTATGAATTATAAACAATTTGAAATATAAATTTGTCAGACGTAAAAGAGCGAGATGGTATATGTCGCGTGAAACCGGACATAGATATTTCTTTGTTCGAAAGTACCCTTATAAAGTTACGGTCTCTATTGAAGAAGCGCCCAAGTTAGTTCGCGTCGTTTATTCACTCCGCGTCGTAAACAGACCGTACTGACACGTGTCGCGCGTATCGATTCCTTTCCCACGGAATGATTACTTCCGCGCGGGATGCGCCGTTGAATAGCACGTGCGCCGCGGAAGAAATACGCGGGGGATCGAGGAGGAAGTGTCCTGACCGCTAATATTTCGCTCCCGCATTCCGCCTTCTTTGTGCTCGCCGCCTTCATTTCGCGCGATAACGCGTCTCCCAGAGACCATTGTGAGTTCGGATCAAAGGGAAGATGAAACCTTTCTTCTCCCAATCGTTGTCTACGTCGTGTCGGCATAGGGATGGTAGAAATGTAAATCTATACAGCCCTCGCAGTGTTATACTTTACCGGAGAATAATTCAACGACATTGATCGATGACCGTAACTTAAAATTTCGGTTCATCATTCTTTCTTTCTTTCGGTAAAATATTGTCGAAAAAAAAAAGTTATTTCAGACTTTCCTAAATCATTTATAGAGCTCGATTGCATACTTCAATTTTTATAATTTTTTAGAAATTTTTAACTCGGTATCTAGGACACTAAACTTTCGATCACGAATAACGGATATTTATAATTCGTCCTTGATGAAGAAAGAGAAAATTAGATTTCCTGAGTTAACAGGAAATTCGATCAAGTAATCGATCGTTACTTTTATGAAGCTGTTCGTATCGTTGATCGTCTTCGCGAAACGATTATTACCATAACTGAGAGATCAATAGGAGGTCTCGTGTTGGCGGTGGGCCATGCAAGTCGAGCAACAAGTTTTCTTATTCCAGGCTGATAGACGTCCCCCTTTGCAGAACAGTTTCCTGTATAAAACAGCGCTAATTCTACAACGGCGGGGGATTAACAGGTGGTAATGCGCTTGTTTCCGTATCCGTGCAACGCGCGTGTGATCGATTGAGTCTTTCTTGTGCGTATTTCCGTGTTGTACTTAGGTATACGAAACTTCGATGGAACTTGGATACGGCATTCCGTTGTACGGAGCGCCGCGATCGACGCGCGACTCTCGCTCTCTTCCGAGACTACAAACCATCTATTATTCCTCCCGCATCAGGAGTATCAATCTCGTCGTTTTCCTTTTCGATGTAAATAAAATCAATTGCGTTGCTTCCGATCGAGTTGTAATTCGAGATTCGAGTAGTTCCCGCCTGCCCGATTGGCATCCCAACCATCCATATTCATCCGTCAAATTCCGTATGCTCGCGCAAAGGGTACACAGGGGAGATCCACAGAGGGGAAATCTGACCAATGCGAACAGAGCTAATCCATCCTGTATTGAGATCGCGGATCTAAAACACACGTCTCGCTTTGCTTTCACACGAGACACACACTCACACACACATACACCTACGCAAAAGTGCCGAGATACACACGGGGCTAATTCCGGAGAAATACCCTACCAGCATTCTGGCTGCGCGAATGTATTCCCGCTAGCATAGCTGAGCTGCTGAATCATGCTGCCGTCGCTGCTGCTGGATGATGTTGGATGATTACGAACGATTTTTCCGCCTCGCGACGATCCCGCGTGTCCTTCGGTGGCCTCTGTAAGACGTACACTTCCTGTGGTCGCCTCGAAGTTGCCGCCTCGAGAGGGCATTCCTCTTCCCGCCCCGAGGAATCTCTAAAGAGCGTGAAATGATGGAGATGAGAAGGGTAGTCGAGAGGTTGTCGAAGGACGATCCGATGACGACGGCATTGTCTTCTTTTCAGCACGACGTTTTCAGTCGACCCGGATACGCACATAGACAGCCTCGAGCAGGCGGAACAGATCGTCCTTGAGGGTACCAGCAAGTGGTCCTGCAAGATCGCCATCACAGGTGACATACTGATACCTTTAGAAAGCGTTTTAACGATCCTTCACCACAATCTCGATAATGAGCCACCACTCTCAGTTCTCTATTATATAATCACGTTACACACACGCTTAAAAAAGTGACACGACTACACGAAAACTTTTCGAAACTTTCTACGCGATCGACTACAAGGCTCACCATTTACTCTATCGCTCCCCTCGTAAAACGATACTATCTTCTCTCACTAAATCACGAGGGGCAAAGTTTCATCGAAATCACCGTGATACGAGGGCGCGTCGCGCGGCTCGCGTAATTTCTGTCGCTTACGGATTCTCCGATGAGTTCGGAAACTTTTGCCCTGCACAAAAGCAGAGACAGGCTACGAATTCATCCGACAATCCGTAATCAAGAGCAGAAGCGGCATATTAAGCATCCTTGTGCGCGCGCGCGCCCTTCAGATAAGCACAATCTCTCTCTCTCTCTCTCTCTCTCTCTCTCTCTCTCTCTCTCTCTCTCTCTCTCACACACACACTTCGTCTTCTTTACGAAGAGATCTATCCCTCTCTATCTGCCGCGCCACACGAGGGGCACATATATACGCAGGAATATCACTGACAGTGACCAACGCACACTAACACGACCGGGGTGAACCTATGGAGGTTTACGCACGCGCTAATCCGAGGATTCCGCGGCTGGTG